CAGCTGGCCTTCAATTCCAGCGGGGAGGGCCTAACCCTGACTCATCCTCAGGCCATGCCAGGGTGAATGGGAGAACAGACCCCAGCATCTGTGTCAGAATCAAGGCCCTCCCGTGGACCTAGCTGGGCCTCTTTTTGGCAGTGGCTGGAACTGACTGAGAGTAAAAAGAATCCAATATGTCTACCCAGGGGAGGACCCTGGGTTAGGGTCAGGTCTGCTCACAACTCTGAGTGCCGCTGACTTAGACTGTCCCCACCCCTGACTGCTGGTTCTGACGACTTGGTGGTTGAACCTGCAGACAGGCACCAAATGTGCCTGGCAGAGGCTGCCTCTCAACCCTCCTTGCCCGTGAAAACTGAAGTGGGAATTCCAGAACTCATTCTAGCTCTTCCGAGGACACATCGCTTTTCTAGAGGGTTCCCTGTCTTCCCAAAGAGTATAGAGTACGGACAAGACACACTCAGGTAAAGCTCAGTGGCAGACCCGGAAATCATCTTTGAATGTAACAGGAGGTGCCCACATATCCTCAAAAGAAAACCACACTTTAGAAGTTCATCACAGATGAAAGGGGGTTGGGAAACAGGGTACATTGCACGGTCTTTAAAAAAAATTTCTTAATGTTTATTTTTGAAGGAGAGAGAGAGAGACAGGACATGAATGGGGGAGGGGCAGAGAGAAAGGGAGACACAGAATCCGAAGCGGGCTCCAGGCTCTGAGCTGTCAGCACAGAGCCCGACGTGGGGCTCGAACTCATGAACTGTGAGATGGTGACCTGAGGTGAAGTCAGATGCTTAACTGACTGAGCCACCCAGGTGCCCCGAATTGCACAGTCTTTAAGTACCTCCTGATAAAGATTAATTATAAAGGCAGGGAAAGCTTTACAGTAGAGAAACCTGGTGGACACTAACCAAGTGAGCAAAGTTACTGTCATCAGGAACGGGACTAAGGGACAAAGTGCCTGAGAAGAGCACAGTGTTACGGGGGTGGAATTGTCACTGAAAATGCATAGCTTGAATCTAATCATGAGGGGGAAAAAATTGAGGTCCTATGAATCTAATGGCCTGCACTCTTCAAAAATGTCAATGTCCTACAAAAAAGGGCTGAGGATTTGTTCTATATTAAAAAGAGACTAGGGGTGCCCGGGTGGCTCAGTTGTTAAGCGTCTGATTTTGACTCAGGTCATGATCTTGTGGTTTGTGAGTTCCAGTCCCGAATTAGGCTCTGTACTGACAGCTCAGAGCCTGGAGCCTGCTTTTGGATTCTGTGTCTCCCTCTTTGGCCCTCCCTTGCTCATGTTCTGTCTGTCTCTCTCTCTCTCAAAAATAAATAAACATTAAAAAAAAATGTAAAAAAAGAGACTATTGAGACATGGCCATTAAAAGCAGCCTGAGAATACTAAGACAACTGTTTCTTTGATCCCTATGACACTGTCCTAAGTAGTCAAATATCAATGACTTCATGTGGTTCAACCTAAATAGACTAATGTATTGATGTGAAAATTGCTTGAATCTGATAATTGTAATGTGATTATTTAGGAGAGTACTTGTTCTTAGAGATGTACGCTGAAGTATTTAGGAGAGAGAGAAACAAATGAATGTGGTCAACTGCCAAAAACTGGTGTAGGTAGGTGAAACGTGTACGAATATTCATGATGATATTCTTGCAACTTTTCAAACTAAAACACTGGAAAAAATCAGCATTCAATGCAGTTCACCCCTGTGAGCAGGACAGAATCTCACTCCCTCCTGGGAAAGCTTCAGGATCAGCATGGAAAGCCACCCTGGCAATGCAGGCATGGGGCACTTGGAAGAGTGGCTGTTGAACAGGGCCTTGCCCCCCACCCTGCGTTCAGGGCTGTCACCCACCTGGGTTTCCAGTTCTGTGACCTCCAGGTTCAGTTTATTCAGGTGCTTGTTCACAAAAGTGATGAGTGTCTAAAAGAGAAGCACAAGCCAGGCATTGAGATGGAGACTCTCACCAGTGCCAGACCTGGTGGCCACCTGTGTGACCCTATTGTGAGGACGAGGACCAGTGTAATAACCTAGGACAAGGCCCAGCCAAGGGTGCTGCTCCAGGGATCACTGCTCAGCTGGGTGAGAATAAGCAGCCTATGAGGCTTTTCTGCAAAGCTCCTTGAGTTCGCAGCAAAGGACGGCCCCCAGGATTTGTGGTCTCCTGCACTGTGGGATTCAAATAGCCAGTCTCAGGAATGTGAAAGGGGCAGGGGGTCCCAAGAGGGCAGAATGATAGGTGCAATGTTCCAGCTCAGAGTTGGGGGGGGATGCCAGAGAAGAAGTGACCTCACCGGGTCCCTCCTTCAGACCGTCCTAGGGGCAGGTGCCCTGTGCCTGGGGAGGAGGGAGGGCTGAGTGAGGAGGCCCGGTTGGTTGGGGGTTCAGTGTGGATGGGAAGACAGGGTGCTTGTAGCTTCAGAACCCCCAGGAGACACTGTCATCCTGATGGGAGAAGGGAGTGGGTAAGGTATCCAGTGGGAACAGGATGGGTAAAGTGTACATCAGGTGGGAAAAGCCCCGAGTTTGCCGAGAGCTGGCGAGGACACCAGTTTGAAGAAGCTTGCAAGCTGCATGCGTGTGTTCTACTGTTTGGTGCAGCTCGCCCCCCTCCCTCCCAGGCACCTCTTGCTCACCTTTTTCACTACATTGAGCTTGTCTGGTGCATGGTCAAACAAGGTGTCAAAGGCATCACGTTCTGGAAACACAGGAAAATGTCAAATGCAGCAAAGCCCTGCTTCCTGGTGGGGAAGCCCACCCCAGGGCTCGGCCAAGATGGCCACCAGGTCAGATATAGGCAGGAATTCTTTGGTGCATGAAACCATGCTGGGAACTCTGGAAACTAGGTTTGGGTAGGTTTTGGGGATTGATTCTTAGCGTAGGGGCTTTCTCTGTTTCTCTGTGTCTATTCTCTAGGTCACGCCTCTTTTAGGTTGGGAGTGGGGGGCTCTGTTAGGCTGTGGAATCCCAGATTGACTTGGGATTTGTCTTCACTATTTATATCCATTACATCATGACTTAGTTATGGGCCTAAAGGGTTTCTGAAGCTTTTTGGAGGTAGAATGTTATCCAAATCTCAAATCACCTCACCCGCTAATTTTCAAATCCAGGAAACCCATGACAAATATCCGTGCACGGATAACCGGATTGGGAGACTGGGAGCCCAGGGATAGAATGTGTGGTCTTCCTTTTGAGTGATCTAGTCACTTCGACCCTTGTGCCTCAGTTTCCTCTTCTATAAAATGCCGTCTGAAAAACCTTTCCCAGGTGTGTGGTGAGGACGAAAGAGAAGAAGGCATGTGCATGTGTTCTGTAAACTCTGAAGTGTGTGCTGATCTGAGTTTGTTAGCAGGACTGGGATATTTCTCACATTATCCATAGTATATACAGGATCATTGAAAATGGCAAAGCCATGCCCCTTGCCGGGGTTTTTCTTGCTATAGCCCCCAGATTCTCTAAACTGAGACATAAAATAGAGGATAGGATCTGAGGCAGGGGATGAGAAGAATGTCCAGGAGGGACCCAGGGCTGGGAAGTTTGGTGGTCCCGGGGTCTGCCTTTTCCTGCTCTTGCGCTGATGAATAAATCTGGGACCACCAGAAGGGTGACTGAGGTCTCTAATGTTCAGACGGTATAAACAAACCCAAAGTTCTGGGAAACTGGAGCGGGATGACGTGTGATGAGGAAAGAGGGAGAAGATTGCTTCTAGAAGGGCTGGACTGAGCGGGGACAGTGGACTTTCCCAAGCGTGTAAGTATACCTCTTTACTTCCACAACAAACTTGGAGCATGACCGCCCTGCAAATGCCCAGGACCCATCCAGGGCCTGGCAACGTCAGTGCTCTGGCTACTTACAAGAGGACTGGGCAGCCGTGGTTAGATTTCCCCTTCCCACCAGTAAGCCGACCCTCCCTACCAAGTGGCCCTGTCACCGGGCTGGTGCAGACACACACGCAGGAAGTAAGCTGAGTGCCTGTTCTTCCCAGCTGCTGCAGAATTAACTAGAAACCCCGTGGCAGCCACCAGCACCAGAGGATAATCTTATGCAACTCACCGTGCCTTCCGGAAAGAGCCCTGCAGGAAAAGGAGAAAGGAAACAGCATGATTCTTCTTCTTTGCCCTTCACTGAAGAGCCCACAAAGCTTCCTTCCTTGGCACTTTCTTCTGCACTAAGTCTCCAATTATTGGTAGTCTTTACCCTACCGCCACCTGTTTTTCCCTCTGCCATACAGATAGACTGGCGTTTGCACAAAGCCTGGTGTAAATGATACTTAAAGGACTATTTCTTGCCTTAAGTAAAATCACACTGTTGCTTATAGTTGAGAAGGAATATCGGACTCGGGGCTTCAACACTCCCAACCACTGCACTGCATCAGCTTGGGGATGTCAGCTTTGTCTTTCTCTAGTTCATCCTGTGATTCCCACCAAATCGCACCTGCCATTGACTCAGAATCAGTTTCTCAAATAGGGCAGGAAATAGAACCATACTCTTACCAACGAAGCCTCAAAGTACTAACGGCACAAGCATTAAAACAGACTACTTAGGTCTGAATCCCAGAGACGCTGTGTGACCTTGGGCAAGCTACGGAGCCTCTCTGGGCTCCCGGTCTCTTCTCTCTAAAAGGAGGATGATAATGGTAAATACTCCAGTAGGATGTTCGGAGCATTCAATGACTTAATATGGAGCAAGACTTTAGCATAATTCCTAGTATATAGTAAGTGCTCAGTTCGTTTTTTTCGGAAGACGTTTTTGGTTCCTATTGTATCGGTTTATTCCAGCTGTGCATCTATCACCTACTAGATGATGACCTGTGGGTAATGTACTGGAAGGGATAATGAACTTGGGAGTTAGGTGTTGGATAGACCAAGGACAGTTGCTTCTTCACCTTTGGGATATGTGGTTTTAGGAGGGGTGAGCGTTGCTTTGTGTATTTTGAATATCAATAGATACGAAAGTGCTTCATAAAGTGTTCTGTGTTGCTGTTATTAGGAGTTCACATCCACCCTCATGTCTGTGTGGCAAGATGGCAGAGGGTGACCACAGGAGGCCTGGCGTGCAGCCGACAGAGCCCTGCAAACCCAAACATCACGTCCCCTGACTCCTCTCAGGTATGTCTTTCTCTTTTCCAGAAGGTGAAACAGCGGGCGTGGACAAGCCCAGCAGAGGGTGGGGGGTGAGGGGCAGGGAGGCGTCCCTCCTGCCCCTCACAGAGGCAAGGCCGGGAATCAGCGTGCTTTGTGTGTCAGCAGCCCTACTGGCCGCCAAGACTGGCCCTGGAGTGATACGGAGGCTGTCCGATAGGCTCTCCACAGGCCATAAACTGGGCCCCTTGGGAAGCACCACTCCACGTCTCTGCCCTACCCTGGGCTCTTTTTAAGGCACAAACACACTGTGGTCCAGGCAGATGGCACCCTGGACTTCCCTCAGCCACCACCGGGGAGGCAAGTTGCCTAGAGACTGGGCAATGCTTGGAGGGTGCGGGTCAGCCGTGGTGGGGGAGAGCCACGACAGGCAGCGCTGATGGTCACGGGGGCCCAGCCCTTGCCACAGTGAATCGTCACAACCTCTCTGGTTAGGAAAACACTCCCGACTTCAGAGATACAGAAACCAAGGTCTGAGCGGGCGGGAGAGTCTGGATTTGAACTCAAGTCAGGCCGGCTTAAAGGTCCCTCCCTGCCCTTTCCACCTCGTTCCTGTTCAAGAGAACATAGAGGAAAGCTGGGGTCTCATGAAAACACACTTTGCCCGTGGCCCGGGCTCAGGCCTGCCCAGTGATCTCAAGGCCCCCGCCTTTTTTCTACCTAAGAACAAACTTCTCTGTCCCATGGCAAACCTCCTGCATTCTGATATGCCAACTACTTAACGGGGAAACGAAAAAACACCGAGCACCAACCCACCACTCTAAGGGAGAAAAGGGTTTTCTGGGTCATGGCACGTGACCAAATAAATCAGATTCAGAAAAGGAAGAAAACGTCCTTTTGGAGGCTCGCAATTTAAATTCAACCCCATGTTTATGGCATGACGATTTCATGCTGGTTGGCTTTTTGGGGCATACTTTTTCCTGGAGTGCCACAAAATTAGAATTTTTCAATCACTGCTAATTCCCTCTCCCCACTTCCCCACCCAAGTTTGTACCTTAAGCATTGAGAGGCATGTTTTGAATGCATGGAAAAGGCTAAACTATAATCATTGGCTGAAGTCTAATCCCGCTTGCAATCCCAATAAATGAAAACTAAATATCAGCAAATGGATGAATTTCGGAGAAACATCTGTGTTCCATTACAGAATGGCTGGCAACAATGGTGTTGACATACTCTGTGTTACCAGTTATTTCCTCTTGGATTTGCCGAGACTGGAGGATTCCTTCTCGTTTCTGAAACAGGGGTGGGGAGAAGGGTTGGGAGGCAGAGAGAAAAATATGCTTTAGAAAAAAACAAAAAAAAAAAAAAAAAAAAAACACAAAACACCCACCCAAAACTGATTAGCGTTCCTGATATTGAGAAAGTTACTGCTGTTCAAGAAATGAAACCGGAGAGGAGATACTACCAGAGGCAAAAGGAGGCCCCAGATTTCTGGGACTGGACCATACCATTCATACTTAAGAGCAATTAGTGTTTATTCCAAACAAGTTGGCTGTTTCTTGGATGGTGAATCTTTTCTTTCTTTATTGGAAGACATTTTGCTGGAAGCAATCTGTTTGCCTCCCGGAGTAATCCACAGTAAACCAAATGGAAATGAAGGCCTAGGGCGTGTCTGCCCTCCAGCTGGGGCCACGGAGGGAAGCAGAGAAACACATTTAACAGTGGGGCTGGCTGGGGTGGAGGACGGAGGCCAACTTGGAAAATTTACATAGGGGGAGAGTTTTTGTTTTTCTTTTTAATGGATAAATAGGGAAGCTTTTCACTAAGCAGTACAGTCCTCAGGTGACTAGCTTATTCTCTGAGAAAAGGATAAGCACTTTGGAGGCTCCCACACCTACCCATCTGCCCATCCGCCCACTCATCCATCTGTCCATCTGTCCATCCATCATCTGTCTGCCTCCTCCCATCAATCTTGCCTCTTTCTTCTTTATTTCATGAATTGGTGTTTTCTCTGTACAAGAACCTCTGTTGGATAAGAGCGAATACTATGGATTCCATACTATAGATACTATGGATACTATACTATAGTTTCTGACCTTGAGGAACTTAGAGAACAATGGGGTAGATGAAACAGGTATGTGAGAAAGATTTCCCAGAAACAGTACCGGTGTTTGTGCCTGATGGGGTGGCTCAACGGCTCAATGATTACAGTAGGACCCCCCATTCACTCTCAGAAGTGTCGTGTGTAACCAATTATGCGGTGGTCCCATGCGGACAGAAGTGCTGACGAGAGCAGGCACGTTCAGCTGGGATGGTCGGGGAACCCTTCCAAGGGGTGGGGGTCCTCAAGCTGGAACTTGACAGGATGCAGAGGAGAGGGCATTCCAGCAGAAGGGATGGCCCCAGCAAAAAGGCAGAGGCAGGAGAGCACCACTGGAACGGAGCCACTAATGGTGGCTGCCATTAGTGGGACGATGGCTGCCATTAGTTGATGGGGAGTCAACTGAGTGCCAGTTTGAAATTTAAACCCCATTGGGTGGGCATGAGAGCCAGTGAGAGAGTGTCAGGGCTCAGGAAGACCTTTTTTTTTTTTTAATAATGTTTATTTTTGAGACAGAGTCAGAGCACAAGCAGGGGAGGGACAGAGAGAGAGAGGGAGACACAGAATCCAAAGCAGGCTCTAGGCTCTGAGCTGTCAGCACACAGCCCGACACAGGGCTTGAACCCACAAACTGTGAGATCATGATCTGAGCTGAAGTCGGATGCTTAACCAACTGAGCCACCCAGGCACCCTCAGGAAGACCTTCTGATAGGTGTGGAGAGGGAGATTCATTAGACCAGGTCTCTGTAGTCAGTTCCCAGACACAATGAGGACGGCAGTCTGGGGATGGCAAGCACCTGTCACATCAAGTTCATCTTTTTTTTTTTTTTAATTTTTTTTAACGTTTTATTTATTTTTGAGACAGAGAGAGACAGAGCATGAACGGGGGAGGGGCAGAGAGAGAGGGAGACACAGAATCGGAAGCAGGCTCCAGGCTCTGATCCATCAGCCCAGAGCCCGACACGGGGCTCAAACTCATGGACCGCGAGATAGTGACCTGAGCTGAAGTCGGACACTTAACCGACTGACTACCCAGGCGCCCCAATTTCATCTTTTACAAAGGCAGAGAAGAGTGTCAAAAAGGAGCCTACCACTGTTAGTGTTTCGGCTGAAACCTGCCTTCTTGCCCTCCTGCCCAAACTTCTAGAACCTTCTCTTCTATTCCTAAGAGCCACAGAAACTAGTGTCCTTGCAAAATACTTTTATCGAAGGAAAGGTAGAGCTGGATAAAGGTCAACAGTGTATCTGCACTAGATTTGGAAGAATGGGTTATCAAAGTGAAAAAGGTAAAAAGGAAAAATAAAGATATAATTTAAAAGGGATCCAGGGACGCCTGGGTGGCTTAGCTGGTTAAGTGTCTGACTTCAGCTCAGGTCGTGGTCTCATAGTCTATGAGTTCAAGCCCTGTGTTGGGCTCTGTGCTGACAGCTTGGAGCCTGGAGCCTGCTTTGGATTCTGTGTCTCCCTCTCTCTGCCCCTCCTCTGCTCATGCTCTCTCTCTGTCTCAAAAACAAATAAACAATAAAAAAAATTTTTAAAGGGATCCGGTAAGGATATATAAAGGGCCTTTCCCATTTCAGCTTCAACAAATGTGTAATTTTTACAAGGGGCTAATAGAATTTGTGTCCTGATCTTGTAAGGCTCTTCACAGACATAGAAACTCATCTTCAACTTCATGCAGAATTCAGTGCTTTTGTACAGACTAGAAAGGAAATCTGGGTGAAATAATCCCTCACACAGCACCTAGATTCACCTCGATCTGTTATTTGTTGCCTCGAGGACTCTTTCTGTGGTTGGGTCGGTGACTGCTGGCTAATTCTGAGTCCTGCTTCTGTGCCTGTTTAACTTAACAAAGCAAAACACCCCATAGAACCTGACATGCAGGTTTTTATGTACCTTGTCCTGTGTTCCACCCGCCTGCTCACAGAACTGTCCACAGAGACGTTAAACTGACAACAGCCTTCTGATGGGCCTATAACTGAGTTTAAAATAAGGCTTGAGACATGGGCTTGCAGTAACCCCTGTTCCAAAACAGGGGTCCCCCCAACCCAATCTTGAATCAGCGTTTTAAAAAATATACTGAAATTAATTTATACATGAGTGGTGAAAATAATATAATAGAGATGGCTTGGATTCACCAGTAAGATGCTTGTACCAACCAGGTTGCTCTGGGAGGGCGACATATCCATGGCAGACATAAAACGCTTGCCGCAGCTGACTGCTGTATCCATGAGGCCAATTAGTCCTTTTAGCTGCACTTAGTGTCTAAACCACACACATGCTCACCGCCTGTGGCCCTGTGATCGCCCTCTCCTTGGTGTAGTCTTGTCTCCTGGCAGGCAGGGCCAACGTGACTATTTCTATTACATCTCCTTGACCTTTAGCAAGGGAGATACCCAGAAGGCATGGAAGAAATACTTTATCACCAGGGCACGGCCGAGCAGCCGACTGAAGAACACCTTCACATCTCCCTCCCCTCCACCGACCTCCGATCCCTGAAAGCTCAGCTTCTGTCCTAGAAACTTGGCCTGGTGGGGTCAGGCCAAGCCTACCAGCCCTCAAGGCTCTTTCTCACCAAGGGGCGTTAGAACCGCCATATTGTTCTCTATTCCAGAACGCTGGATAACCAGTGAGCTGCTTAGAAGGGGCGTTCTCCCTTGCAGCATGTTTATTTGAAAAGAACAGAAACAAGCAAACAGAATGCTGACCTTTCCTAAATGGGCATAAAGTTGGAAAATAAAATTGAATTTGAGTATGTAATAGGGTTAGGAGCAGAGTGAGATAGTCACAGGGAGAGAGCACACTCTCGCCGTGGAAATTACACAGCCATACGAGAATGGAAATTCCATCCGACAATCTGGAAAGGGTGACTTGAGATCCCAGCCATGCTTCTCTGGGCAGGTGAAAAGCAGCCATGCCCTCCGTA